GATGCAGATGCGGACTCAGGTCCGAAGACTCAGGACTCAAGACTCCAGACTCTGGACGCGAAAGCCTGGCTCAAAGTTAGAAAAGCTTCGGAACTCGGATGCTGCACTGGGAATGTGCACCTCAAGAAGTGGCGGAAACTGAGCCAACTTTCAAGTAAAATTATTATTTTTATTATTAAATTCATAATAAAATATAATAGATGTTTAGGCACAGGCATCCAAACTTTTTCTCTTAGTTATCCTATATATTTTTATTCAAATTATTCAAGACTTTGCATTGTGGCCACCAAAAATAGGAATAGCAACTAGCTAAATGATCTAGTACATGAGATCAATGGTTTGCAAGCTCCATTAATCATTGGATATAATATTTGTTTCTATAATATTTCTACATATATTCTTTTCTAAATTTAGTTGATTTATTTATATTTGGAATTTCTCCACTCGTATGCGCCAGACTTAATGCAATGGGTATGATTTCTTCTCTCTGCAGGAGGATGGGATGATGGGAAGCTGGGGTGTTTGGGGCTGCCTTGCGGTTGGGGCAACATCATTTTTCGATCACGTTTTAAGTGTCTTGCGCCTTCCTCGGATCCGCAGCTTGGAGCTGGGAGTTTGCAGTCTCGTCATCATCGTCGTCATCGTCGTCTCCTAGGCAAGTTAAATGATTTAAAACCAACAGCGAAAAATATCGTGCCAAGTGCTGCATATTGCACGTAGATCTGAGCCGCTCCTCCCCCCGCTAGCCACTATGTACAGCTCTCCACCCCTCCGGTTTTTCCTGCCCCTCTGGCCCCCGGAAAACTGCAGCTGAGGCGGCGGCAGTCAGTCACTCAATCCGTTAGACGGCGGAGACCACGTAGCTGTGACTGCGCTGATTGCCGGCTATCGATTGCACTGGGAGAAAATGGGGCGAAGTACTGGCGGACGGGCAGCTGCTGGCGAGCCATTAGCCAGAAATGGCCAGCAGAACCCTATTTAGTTACTCTCCATGGCCATAACTCGGCGCAGGCTCGATTGATTTTGATTGATTTGAGGCACCGCTGCGATCTGTCATTGACAAAAGTGGATAGTTGGCGGAAAAGTTGACAAAAGTCATTGAAAGGCCCGGGGCAATAATTTCAATTAATTAATAACTTTGCACTGCTCTTGAAGGAAGCTAAAACGCTGCTGAGAACACTGCTTAATGAGATTTTGTATGGGTTTCAATGGAGGTATTAGCCAACACAAATCTCAGTTTGGGCAAATAGAAAATAGCTTGCAGTTATAGAGAATGTGGCACACAAAATTGCAAATATTTTAGCCGGAGTTTTTGCTAAGTGCACCTGCTTAGCCCGTCTAACGTTCGTTTTTAGCACATTTTGCCTCTGCGCTGACTAACGACAGTCGAAGAGCGCCCCACTCTGCATCCCAGCATCCCAGCATCGCAGCACCCCCACCTCAAGGCCCCCGCCCCCTCTCCGCCCCTCCCCGCCCCTCTCCGCCCATTAGTGGCAGCAGTGACTAAACTGCATTATCACGCCTCTCCATTGCATTATTGGCAGTCGGGCCCGGCACCCCTTTTGCCACTTTTATGATCCGTCGCTAGGTTAAGGTGAAAACAAGGCAGACCCGATTTTCCCCTTCGCGTGCACGATCCCGGATCGTCCATCGATCCTAACTACACACTCGTACCGCTAAGCAGGCGGAAAAATATATATCTGACAGATGCGATGCGCATACTTGCTACGATTCGCCGCGCTATTCGCATTTAGGTGTCTACTTAAGCAAGAAATCAACGTGGCAACAACAACAGCGAGCGCTGTGGTGGAGTACAACACGATAAAAATGCTTGGTAAAAATCATCAAAAAGTTATACAACTCCAAGACAGGCTGGCATACTTGGCATCTGACTATAAACCGCAAGTTAACCGAAAAAAATGACGTGGCAAATAAAACAGAGCGCAGCCTGAAAGGTTGCAGGGGTACACTCGAAAAAATTTTGTTTCTTATACCCTTTAAATAATAATATAGTGCCCTAGCATCAAGAAATAACAGTAATATCAGCTTTGACTCGAAATATAAGCGGTTTAATCTTCAGATTTTTCTATTTAACATTTTGGACTTCTCGCAGTAAATGGAATACTTAGACTTTTATGCAATATCCCTTCTGAATGTGCCCTTTTCTTCGCGTGTAAAAGCAAACTGGACATTGAGATCCGCACCAAGCCGGGGATTTCTTTCTGCTCTTCGGCTTTCATTGTATGGTGTGAATGTTATGGAAATTTGTTAAGTTCTGCATACAGACAAACAAGATTTGCACGAAGCTTTTTGGGAATGCCGGCGATGAGGGGGGTGTTATTTGGGGGCAAGGGGTGGGGGCCATAGCCAGCGTGTACATGCGAAGTTTCTTTTCGATTTTCACACCAAAACAACAAAATGTGCCACAAAAGCTGGGGCTGCTTTTTCAGCCAACCCAGCGATCCGTGGTCTCCGCTTGGAGTTGGTCACATGTGACAGCTTTATTGGATTCCGATTCCGGAGAGCTATTTAACAAACTGGGCAGAATGCTGGGAAAATGATTTGTCAGCCATGAAGGGGAAAATGCGAGGGGCCCACAGGTATCCGTCTAATGCATTTTGCCGTTCAATAAGTTGGACTTAAGTTTCCTTTTGGCTGATTACAATTGGTTTTGCCAGCTGCTGATTGATTGAATGATTGAGGGAATGGGTAGTTTCGTCAGGGTGAAGAACGCAAGTCGTTGGATATACTCGACCATAAGCGGAGTTGATGAGACAAAGTCCTTTTCTTCGATACTTCGAGTGGGCTCAAGTGCTTAGCTAAAATTGTGTTTGCTTGCGATTTCGAATTCAAGTGGATAATGGTCAAGAGGAGGAGGCGTATAATATTGATTTGGAGTAAGGATCGAGATGGCTATGAGAAGACAGCAAAGGATTAAGGTGGAGGTGCCAAGGGATGAGGTCATTAAGAATCTGAAGATCGCTTCCAAGTTAAGTGGATAATGTGGGAGTGCTATTGATTCTCGCGCTGTTATCCAAACTCATTTAGCGTTCTTTTCACCGATTTAACCATAAAACAGTGATCAGCGACATATAAAATGCATGCCACAAGAGATTTCCCAAGTTGAAAGGTTTTGCATAATATAATTGGGTTGCAACATTATTATTGTTCACGCGTTCCAAGGCGAAATCGTTTTCTTGAATATGAAAGTTGGTGTTTAGTTTTTGAGTGGTAACTTGGCCAAATTTGCTTCGTCAGGTTGATTATTTGACTATCGAAAACATTCAATTTCAACAATATGTTCGAAGGGTTTCGTAGAATTAAATCCATAAGTGCACATGTGAGTTTAGTGAGCTGGAATTAACAAAGTGAGTAATTCCAAATAGGCGTCGATTTTTTCTGCTGTGTTTTCTGCTCATGGGCAACTCTAATATATATTTAAGCACTCAATCGCTGGCTGGTGCGACTTAATTTCTTTATAACCAACCAGTGCGCTGCCCAACCACACATAATTTAATTTAATTCGGCTTGATACCTCGACCCCCTGCTAATTTGAGGTATTTCCTCAATCAACTTTCGGTGACCTCCGCTGGCATTGTTCACACTTATCCGACAGGAAAACGAGAGCCCAGCCACCGACAACTACCGTCTGGTCGTCCTTCAAGGCTGTTAAAACAATTTACACCTCCCTGCGCAAAACCCTCCCTCGATCCGCTTAGCGATCGTCGTCCCTTTTGGCCGGAGCTTGGATCTCCTTGCCTTTCAGATTTCGGATTTCGGGTTTCGACTGGCAGCAACTTAATCGACATCGTTTTCACATTGTCAATTGTCTGCTGGCCACTCTGCATGTCCCACAGCCCTCGCCCGACCAACAAAGGCATCCCAATCGCATCCCAAAAAGCATCTCCTCAACTTGAGATGCGCCTGTCTCTCTGGGCCTCTCGACTTCCTGTCAAAGTTCAACAAACCGCCCCGGCAAACCGACAAAAAGCCAAGACCCAGCTCACTATAATTGCAGCCTGCATGTGTGCGAGTGGAAAAAGGCGAGCAGCAGCCCATGGATCGGGCCAAGATTCGGATGCGGTCTCAACTGGAGATCTGCAGCGGGAGCTGCACTGAAAGAAACAGCAAGTACCTGCACCAGGAGTGAAAACGGAACTGGGCTTCCGAAATTGCATGTACAAATTATATTTCCAACTCCAGGGAAATTCGAAATAAAAACTCCTTGTTCGGATATTAAGTGAAATTTATATGTAACCAAAATTGTTTTCTCTGTAGAGTGGCAACAGGAACAGCAGCCGCCGTTGGCTCTCTGCCTACGTTTCGTTAATATTTTTGCAAATTTTTTTAACCCCCACTTGGCCAGCTCCTGCGGGGGCGGGTGCGGTGCAGGGGGAGGGCTCTGTGGCATGCAACACTACCAAAAACGTACGTACAACGATCGCTGCAAAGAGCAGCTAAGGAACAACAAAATCTCTGCCTCGGTCGCCACCATCGTCCATTGCATGTGTACGCAGACTAAACCAGTTTGCAGCTAACCAGCTCCTCATTCACCCGGTACAGTGGATACTGTCTACAGTGGATAGCATTTGATTCACTTTCGAATGTAGTCACAGTTTTTAACTACTAATCGTAGTTAAATTATATTATGATAATATAATATTTGTAGGATAACAATATGTCACTTAGACTGTAGTTTTATTATAAAAAAAGGTATATAAGAAATGTTTTAGAATTTGAATTTAGAATTTTATACTGCTCTACTATACTGCCTATACTGAAAATATAGAACACAGATGTGCATAAGTGATTGTTCTGTATCGGCGAGTAAGACAGACGGTTATGGAACAGATACCCTTCAGAGGGAAAGCTATTATTGAAGTAAAACCCCCTTAGGCAGCTTCCACTGTAGTCAACTTGGTGAACGGTTGATCGCGTTTGCTGCCCAACTGCTGGCGTTCTGCAGTTTTCCAGTGCGAGTGTGTGCTGCTCGGTGCTGTTGCTGTTGTGATCGATTGCTGTTTGAGCATGCAAATGTGTAAAGACGCCTCCGCCACCAGAAACCAGAGGAGCAAACCGGCTAAGCCGAGTTGGCCGCGCTTCAGACGGACTTTTCAAATCGGAGAACCGCGGCGCAGAGCCGAGCTGAGAATGCCCAGAATTCGAAATGGCTACAAAGAACAGAAACGTGTCCAGCTGCAGCGACAAAATGCTAAATATATTTGTAAGTTCGCTGTTTGACGATCAACTGGCATTGATTTTGGCAGCTTTTTCAGCGGCCCCTTCGTTCGAGAGGATCGTGAGATGCAGCTCGCTGATTTTTGATGAATTTATTAAGATTTTCTGGTTGGCGAAGAGCGCAGCTCAGCTGGCTGGCTCTAATGAGTTGGGTTGCAAAGTTGAAGAGTGGAAAAGTTACCTGAAGGCAACAAATCAACGCCTCTACGCCTGATCTGTGATTAGTGTCAAGCGGAGTTTCGGGCTGGGTCAACCGCAGGTTCTGGCCATTGATATATGGCCAGTTTGACCGCGACCGCACAATTTCGTGTTTATCCCGACGTCTATAATGTTTTTTGTTCCGCCAGCGATCTTGGCCGCAAGTCCTTTTTACCTGGCCTAAAGGACACCACAATTTCCAAGCAATTGGCCGTGCCTAACAATGGCCCAATGGCCTTCGCGTCCCATGGGGTCCATCGCCCTGAGGAAAAAAGGCCAGGACTATTGCCGGAATCCTGCCAGGCGTTTCGAAATTTCGAAATGGGTCTCCCAGATATATAGAGTCAAAGTCTCAGCAAGGCGGCAGCTGTTGTCCTTTTTTATGCGTTTTCCTGCTGTCGATGCAGACTGGACTGGGTTAACGTGACCTTCTCGCCTTGACAGCTGCCTCGAAAAGGTACAAAAACCTTTGAGCGGAGGCAATTTTCTTTGGCCTGCATTTCCCTCCTTTGTTACGCAAAAAAAGCAAAAGAAAAATAGCAACGGAGAAACGTTTGTTTACCCAAAACACACACAAAGTGTGTGGAAAATTGGAAAATTGTCTGTGCAATTGTAAGGCTTTCGTCTTTCATTTCCCTGGCTCTGTTTGTGTTTCGTACGCATTTGAGATTTATTTTGATCGATCGTTTCTACGGCTTAAGAACTCTTTATTCTACCGTTCTCTTGTTTATCCGGAGACAGTCTTAATATTGGTCGTTTACTTTCTACGGGATAAATACCTCACAAATAGTTCCACAAAATTGCACATGTCCACACACGGAGACACAAGGGAACATGGCCTAAGGACTCCTTTTGAGCACTCTTCCCAGTTCTGGAACTCTGAAGTTCTCATGACAAACCAGGTGGGCCGAGCTACTGCTGACATGCTAAATGGTCCACTACTGTGGCCCACTTGGCCAGAACTGAATTCAGTAAAGTGGAAGGATGTGGCTGCATCTGTTTTGATTGTTCCCTGACACGCAATCTAGGAAACGAGGAAAAGGTCCGAGTGGAACACCCACATGAGTGCAGGAAATGTACATTCCCATAGGTCGGGGAAATAATTCGAATTTTCTATTCGTAATGCTACACAATGTGTGGGAACGAGGTTAACGCTGTACTTTTCAAAAGGATTATGTTTCTTACCAGCATGAAGAGTAATGTTTGTTCTAGGAATAAAAGTGCACTTAATTAGTATTGGGGTTAACTGTAGCTATAAGCATTACTTGTTATGATATTTATTCACGTCTGGTAATAAATCACACACTGCTTAGAGCTCTCCTCATTTTAGGTAATAACCGAGCGAAACCCACTTTCCAATTTGATCATTTTTATTATCCACAACGAAATTCTCGCTATGGTCAAAATAGCACCTTATTGAAAAGCTGTCTTGGGCATTTTAGCCAGCTACTATGCCCATGCAGAACAAAAGCGATTCGGATCTCATACGATCTGATCCGATTTCGATAAGATATTGCGCCACATAGTGAACAGATCGTGTTGGCAAGATTTTATGGATCATCTCTGCTCGGCAGTTTAATTTTGTAATTACTATAATACACAGCCCCACAAACTCTTCATGTTTTTTCAGGGGAAGTGGCTCCTTTCGATTTGCAGTCATAGCTGGGTGTAAACGACTGGCATCCTTAACGGCTTTCAATGCTCAAACAACTGCGGGGCACAAAGCGAAAAAAACATAAAGTACCCACTCTAAAAAGAAGCTTTTCGCATGGGGAAAATACCCAAAGGAAGGAGCTGAGACACTCAAGGAGCGAGAACATGATTGAAAACTAACTGCTGCTACTCGGTTTAATATTACATTTCTCGGTGATCATCAGGGTGCTCCACTAAGAAAAAATGTTGATAAGTAGGCGATCTGTAGGAATACCTAATATTCCAATTTGGATGCCATTAATACAACCACTTAGCTAACATTATTCAATAAAAAAGGTTCCAGTATACTACTTAGTTATAAAGTATGCGATGAACATCACTTACATTTTCTATTATTTTAGTCTAGCCATTATTTGATTAAAATATCCTTTAAACTGATAATACAGGAATAACATTTAAAAAATTATATTCAAATTAAATAGAATAGTTCTATGAAGGCATATGAAATACAAGATATTTTTAGTCAGTATAATAGTTTTATTTGCATAAAAATGTAATACCCTTAACATGATTGTTAGGTATGAACATTAAAATGTTCCACTTTTTTTGGAGTGTGCCACGGGGTGTGTGTCTCGGCTAGAGCGCACCGTTTTACTTAAAATAATTATGGAAAATGCCAAGTTAAATGAGGAAAACTAGCAGGGTGAGGTGAGGAGGTTGGAGGGGGTAAGCGGCGAGTGAGTGATCGGGGGAGCCGCTTCCTTTTTGCCTCCGCGCATGGGCATGGGCATGGGCATGGTCATGGCCAATGAGCTAGGATGAAAAACAACAAGATCATAAAAATAATAACCAGGCTGAACTCAGCTGCGTTAGTTGCGGGATTGCTAGGCGGAGAGGGGTGCCGAGGGGCGGGCGGCGGTAACAAGCGCTAATTATCGACAACAAGCTAAAACAGCGACCTACAATTACGCAGCGACGCCAGCTGAGGCGGCCGAATAAGTAGCAGAGATGTGCACTGCGGAAAATAGTTACCTACTCTTGGGATTACAGGTCTTGAGTGGATGCTTGAATGTTAAGGAACTTCTATTTAAGTAATGCATGCAGCACTCGTGAGTTTGTATATAATATTTTGAAATATTTAACCAAGCAGAAAAGTATGGTATTATGGGTTTGAAATTGAACTACTTTATTACCTTTATTAAATATTTTGAATAACTTTTTTTTTTGAATAACTGAAGTGGTATTTTCCTGTGTGCATTTGAGCCCTACGCAACGATCTTGGCTAGAAAATTAGTCTGCTGGATGGCCAAGGGGAGTTGGGAAGTGGGAAAGCGCAGCGCGGATGCAGCAACTGCCACAGCCATTAAAATTTACACAGGCAACGCAGCAGCAGCAACTTCACTGCAGCAGCAACTTCACTGCAGCAGCAGCAGCAGCAGCAACTGCAGCATTCTTGCCGTCGTCTTCGCCGTCGTCCTCATCATCGTTGTCGGTACTCATCGCTGGCCTTTCTCCCATTTGGCGCAAACTTGTTAACTTCTTGGCATGGATGGTCATCATGCAAGCCTGGCCAGCAGGAGACGCCGAAAGAGACGGGGCGAGACTGGGAGAAAGAGATGGGAGGAGAAGAGTGTGTGTGCGCAAGGCTTATGCATGCAACGCAGGCAAAAAAAGGGGGCGAGTGTGCGAATTCGAAATGCCCTTGGAAATGGACAGGGTATTGCAATTTGGTGGAAGATTGGGAGCTACTTTAAAATACTATTCATTGAAAGCAGCATCCGGGAATTTACGAAAAACAGCGGTTGCAATAATAAATATAAAATGCAATAATAAATTATCGTTCTATCTTTAGTATTATAAATTAGGTTTCTTTGTATGGAGGTAAATGGAATGTAGTCATAGATTTGAAACAACATAGCAACCTAATACAAACTTGAGCACTTGTTACTTGGTTCAGCATCTTTTAAGCAAGAAACTAAACTAAACTTGATACTTTTTTAAAATAAAACCAATCTTGACTTTTGCTTTTAGCTGGAAAACAGCTTGAATGTGATCTGCAGATTCTTCACGGTGCTTTCAAATGCCAGTTTTGCTGGCTACTACCGAGTAAATTTTCATTTCATTTTTATTGAGTTAGAACTCGGGAACATCGTATCTATTTTAATGTGTGCGCTTATCCCACCGGTGTGAGCTCCCATTTAGGCAGACACCTGAGAGGATCCCCCAAATGAAGCATCAAATGCGGGCCAGCCAATTATCGAGTTAACCAGTGCGACCAGCAGCATCTGGCCTCTTTCACTTTAATCTACGCTGCCCAGGCGGAATTCTCCAATGCCTCTCACATGTTGCAGGATCTGCATCAGGCCAGCGAGCTGGCTGAGCCCTACGATCAAATGTTCTGGCATAATCGATATACCCCATCAACATATCAGGTGTATAACAAGCAGCCGCGGGTCTGCCGCTGCGGCTTCTGCTGTATTGGTTGCAATTTATAGGCGCAGGATCGCTTACAAGCCAACGAGTTGGTAACACAAACCGGCGGCACTCTTGGCCAGTTGCGCTTGTTGCGCTCTCCCTCGTTGCTGCCCCACGCTTGTTGCTTGTTGTGTGTTGCCTGGCTGTTGCATGGGCGCTGATTTTATGCTCTGACTGGCGGCGAGTGAGGACTTTCAACGCAACGCAATGCAACGCAACGCAGCGCGACGCGAAAGCCTGCAGATTGAAGCGGAATACTGGTACCGAGACTGGGCGTTAACTGCGAAGTAATTGCGTTTCGGCTATGCAAGTACATAAATTGGATTTGAAATATGTACACATGTTGATGGATTCCTCTCCGCCGAGCTCGTGCTGTGGGTACCTGCCTCGATTCTGCACCGCGAGAAATAGTCGTGTAGTCGGAGTAGCAATTAGGCATCTTTTCACAGATTAACTTAACTTTAAACCATAATTTTGAGCACTTAACTTTTGAAGTTTCCCTTGATTTAGCAATTTTGTATATTCGACAATTATGCAAAACTGATAATATTGCATCATTTTTCTAATGTGAAAAATCTCCTCATTGGGATTGTTAAATTTCAAGAACTATTTCTTCAGTTTTCATAACAATAGCAGACCACATTTTTAGGGAATTAATTAATAGGCGCCCCAGTTTCTCTCGGTGTGAGCCCTGCTCCGTAGCATCCACATCCATCCTGTCCGGGCCGCCGCTGCGATGGAAAGGAGAACGAGCGGCAAACGGGCACCATTTGTCTTTTGATAATTATCATTTCACTATGATAGCATCAATTTTGAGGAAAACATTTGATGATTTCTGCTGCGTGTGTCGGTCGTTAACGAGGCCCAAAGATCTTCGATCGGCTGACTCCGGGGCAGCTGCTATGTTGCACTGCTGCACTGCTGCACTGCTGCACTGCTGCAATGCCGATAAGTAAATACTTGCCTGCAAAACGGTAGCGTTAACAAGTGGCTTGCCGACAAGGCCGTAGGAGAGTTGCACAAGATGGAAAATATGCCCCATCATCATCGATTGCAGATGGCTGGCAGGAGTTGGGGATTTTCCGGGCGGCTGCCAGCGGATGCTAATCGATGCAGACAGCGATTTCGAATTAAATGGTAGGTAAATGATAAAATGATAAATTAGACAAACTCTGGGCGAAAGAAATCGCTCATATATTCAATGCAGCATAATTAGTTGCCTCCTCTGTGCAGCGAGAAGTTCTTATCTGTGGTAAATATTTGGAAGCCTGGAAAATGTTGATAAATGCGCTTTTTCTTAGAGCTGTACCAATTGTATTTATTATAAATTGTATAAATATATTTGCGAGGGCAGTACCGAAATAATACCCAATTCCAATAGCCAATTTAAACATTTCAATTCAATACTTGTATTGAATTGTATCAATTATTGTATCTTTATTAATTAAACACGGCTGCATAGATTTTGGCGCACGCAAATTAAGATTTTATGCTAAATGCCCTGCATTGCCTTTAACTATCGAGCTCTCGAGTGCTCATTGTATTAATTTTAGAATCACTTTAAGGAGATTTTTAAATCCATAAATTTTAATTCCATAAATAACACACATAAGTAATAACAATTATATGTCAAAATTTGTTTGTGCATGATAATCGTAGTCGGAAATATCAAATAAAAAATGTTGCATACTTTTACATGCCTAATGACGATAATTTTGTAAGGTTTGGCTACCAAGCAGTAGGTGGCGCTTTACGTATATCAAAATTAATACGGATGACGTCTTTAAATATTTGTAACACTTAAAATTGCTTGTTTTCTTTATCGTTTCAATATTGAACAAGCTTAAAACTTTCGTTGACCTATGATTTCTAACCCGCTTAAGTGGTGTTTTCTGGTGATTGTGTGCAATATTTTTCGAATTATTTTTATCAAGAAACCTAACACTTTAGTTTTCTTTTAGAAATATATTTGCTCATTAAATCAAAAGTGTACCTAAAATGGATCGTGTCTACACTAAGCATTTGGTAATACCGTTTTCGGTACAGGAATCTCGTAGACTCTTTGCAAGATCCCTTAAGTAGCGCGCAGTACTTCTCAAACTGTATGTGGTACTTTGGTACAAAAACTTCTTTAAGAAATTTCTACTTCGCTGCCCGGTAAATTGGTAGCTGTGTTCAAAGAACAAAATGTAATCATTAAAATAGAGTAATACATTTTAGCAAGTAATTTATGTTTGATCTTCATGTAATTCATGGATTATTACAGATGATTGCATATGTTCTTAGTGTTTATATATGGTCCCAAAACTGTACTGAAAACAAGTTACTTAGTATGGAGCAGAACCAATTTTCGAAGTTTCTCTTATCAGAATATATAAATATATAAATTCAACATCCAATTCAGTAACAAAGCCGCATCATTTAAATATGAATATTTTAAAGCACACGTTTCGCCGGCCAGAGTCTCACGTGGCCATCAGTCTAATTGACTTCCTTTTCGCAGAGCAGTCAGGCCCTCAATTGCTCCATATTTCATGACCAAAAATTAACCAATAAAACAAAGGAGAGAAAAAAGAGCAGCAAATGCTATCACAAAGCCGCCACACAAGGACACACACAATAACACAATAACACACGCGGACGAAACGTACGACTTTTCCCAATAGCCCAAGCCATAACATATAAAAACCCACCCGCAACAATAACAGCAGC